TGATGAGTTTTATGGTAATAAATTTGGAAGACTATCAATGATCATTTCTGTAGGTTTTTCCTTTTCTTTGGGCTGGTCAGCCACTCCCAAATTCGGATCTCCTGCCTGATGCTGGTATTTTACGAGTTAATTGGAAAGGGGGTTGTTGATCTTATATGCTAGAATATACATTTTCATATCATCCTCTTTTCAAGAACAGTGCCTCACTTCAGACCTCAGCTGTGCCTATTATCCTTAAATCTTTATGATGACATTTTAACTGAAAGAAAACTCTCCTCCTGGAGTATGTAAGAAGTGGTTGCTTGATTGTTCAAGATAAGAGTGGCAATCTGGAAGAACAGTGAACTGTTAAAAGATTTCCAACTTCAACGTCACCTACTCCCCTACCTGCAGAATACTTAAGATTTGCTGAAGAATCTTCCCTACATTTTGTGATTTGAATTAGCTTGCTTATTATTGGTCTCATCCATGCAAGTACTCTCTCTTGGTCTTCAAGGATGTGAATCACTCATTTACATGATCACATCTACTCTTTGCAACTGGGAATTTATGCTTTTTAATTTATGTTTGAGAATGAATATTCTATTTTTTTTCCCAAAAGTACTCTCATTATGTTAAGATTCTCATTTTTCAATACAATTCAATAATTAAGTACATGCTTTTATTGAAACTCATATTGTCTAATGTCAATCAGTTGTATTTGCAAACTAATCTGAAGGCATTTCATTTTCACATTTTCTACACATGGATTTTAGACCCCCTGAAACTCTCTAGTACTTTGCTAGAGTTACTGTCTTGGCTATTTTCTTTGTTGCTTGGACACAATACCTGACACCCATAATTTAAGAAAAGAGGTTGAATTTGGCTCCCAGTTTGTTAAGGTTTCAGTCCATAGTTGGTTGGCTCCAATGCAGGGTGGCATGGCAGAAGGGCATGGTGGAGGAGAGCTGCAAAAAGCTGCTCACAATGTGACAAATAGGAATCAGGGACAGACTAAGGGAGGAACCAGGGAGGGAGATAAGCTCTTCCAGGCCTCAGTGACTTGCCTTTCCTGACTAGACCTCATCTCTTAATAGCAAATCAGCTATTAGCCCCTGTAATCCAATCATTCTAGGAGCACATGAGGCTCTTGGGAGATATCTAGCTATAAACCATAATGTTTATCGTAAAAACTTCTATAGATTGGGCATTTTAAGCAAAAAAAATATATTCTGGATGCTGCAATTCCTAGATAAAGGCATTAATAAATTTGGTTTCTCCTGAAGCCTCTCTCCTTGGTTTGCATATGGCTGCCTTCTCCTCACATGGATTTTCTTCTGTGCATTTTTCTGCCTGCCTAGTATCTCTCTGTATGTTCTAATGTCCTTTTCTTTTCCTTTTTTATTAAGATTGGATTGGAGTACAGCCTATCAGCCTTACTTTAATTGAATTACCTCTTTAAAGACTTTATCTCCAAATAGAGCCACATTCTAAGATACTAGACATTAAGACATTATATTAGTCAGCTTTCTGATTACTGAGATACAATATCAAACACCCTCAATGTAAAGGAGGAGAGGTTTAATTTGCTCATGTTTTCAACACTCAATCAGCTGGCTCCAAGGCAGAAACCTCATGGCAGAAGGCTGGTGAAAGAGCAAAACTGCTTAGTTCATGATAGTAGAAAAGCAGAGCAGTGGAACAGTGCCAGAATGGAAGGGGTGAGGAACAAACACATAAATCACTATGTCATGCCTCTATGACCCACCCAGATTTACTTGGAAGTGTGCTCTACCAGTCTCCTGGGTTGGATCCTAAAGCCAAGGATATTGAAACTCCACCCTTACCACCACATCCCAACCCTTGTCAACTTGCTACCAAAATACATCTCCTTAAACCATACTTAATCTCTAAGTAAAGACAATAGCAAGTTCATAATTCTGCCTAACATACTATAACTATCTCAAGTACAGCCAGAAATGCAATAACCCCTTCCCCAAACTCTCAAGAGTTCCAGCATTTTTCAAAAGTCCAAGTATCTTCTGAGACTCAAGGCAAATTCCTAGTTATGAATCTCTGTAAAAATAGAAAGTAAATTACACAATCCCAAGGTACAATGGCACAAGGCAAACATTCCCATTCTAAAAGGGAAGAATAGGGGGATAGAAAAGAATTGGATCAAAGCTAGACTGAAACCCAGCAGGACAAACATTAAATCATGTACCTCCTATATCTGGCCTTTGGGGTGTACAAAGGTGAGATGTAAGTTCCCAGGGGGCTTGATCAGTCCCACCCCTATGCTGTTATTGATTGGAGCCCACACAGTCTATCTCTTGGCTGGCTCCCTTCATGCCTTACAGCTTTCCTTGGCAGACATTCCATGTTTCTGTACATCTCCAACTTCCTGGGTCTCCACTGCAACTTTGGGTTCATTCCCACCCTTTCATAAACTGCCCTTGGGGGCTCATTGCTTGGCTTCACAAGCCTTCTTTTGAAATCTTGGTGGAAGTCTCCCTGACCCCATAACTCTTGCATTGCGCATGCTGATAAAACCAGCATCACATGGCCAATGCCAAGGTCTGCTCCCAGCAGAAGCAATAGCTTGATACCCTCAGACCATGGTTGCAGCAGCCTTGGAGTGCTTGGATTGCTAAGCATGGTGAAATGAATCACAGGGAACCAGTTTTCTACAAGGTTCTTCTTGATCAGGGGATTCCAAGAATGCTCCTCTCAAGTGAAAGGCTGACACTTTTGTATCCTTGAGGTTGCCATACACTGGGTTAGTAACAATCATACCAACAACCCTACTTCTCTGGCACTAGCTTTCTGGTCCCTGAGACACACTACCCAACACCCACAATTTCAGAGGAGATGTTTCATTTGCATATGGTTTCAGTCCATTATTGGCTGGCTCCAAGATAAAGACATTATTGTAGAAGTGTTTTGAGGAGCAAAGCTGCTTAGTTCATGGCAGCCACAAAGCAGAGCTGTGGAACAGTGCCAGAGTCAAAGAGGAAAGGGGCCAGACACACACCAAAAGCCCATGCCAACACGACCCACTTGAAAGTGTGCTCCACCAGTCCTTGTAGTGGATCCCAAAGTCAATCAACTTGATATTCTACCCTAACCATAGGCTTCAACATTTTAATTCGATGGGGAATGTGTGTTGGGGGATACCATTCAGCACATACAAACTTATTTTTTTGGTACCAGGGATTGAACTCGAGACCTTGCGCTTGAGAGGCAGGTGGCAGAACCACTGAGCTAAATCCCCGGCCCAGCACAGACAAACTTAATTTGAAGGATTTAAAAAGTGAAGTTCTATATCTGATTTTTGAAAAAGAATTTTTATGAGATTCACCATTTTTTTTTTTGGTACCAGAGATCGAACTTGGGACCTTACACTTATAAGGCGGGCTGTGGAACCACTGAGCTAAATCCCTGGTCCTGGCATTCACTATTAATAACAGGAAAATCACATAACATATGAATGTTTCCAAATACCTGTGTCTCAAAGGTTTCTCCAGTATTAATTTCTTTAGAAAAGCAATAACTTCCCTTATTCATTGTTGAACTATCACCTTTACCTTGAAAATACAGATAAAGAGGCCGGGAGTTAGCTCACTGGCACCAGGCCTGCCTCGCAAGTACAAGATCCTGAGTTCGATCCCCGGCACCAAAACAAAACAACAGAAAAATGATTTCTAGATTCAAAAGAAATAATGACAGAGTCTTAGCACAGAAAAAATTGACACATTAACACAAGTTATGAGTTACCAGTGACTCCCCACCTGGTACAGCAATTTTTTCTTTTTGGTACCGAGGATCCAACTCAGGACCCTGTGCTTGCGAGGCAGGCGTGGTGCCACTGAACTAAATTCCCAGACCTGGTACAGCAATTTTAATCTAAAGGTGAGACAAAGGTGTTAAATGTGAAACAGTGAAGGTGTCAAGACCTTAGGACTGTGGATCATCCACTCTTCTCCAGGGATGCATCTATTCCCTACCTGACACCTGAGGGCCTACGGTCATCTGCATACAACATCTTAATTTTTTTTTTTTTTGATACCAGGGATTGAACTCAGGTCCTTGCGCTTGTGCAGCAGGCGGCAGAACCACTGAGCTAAATCCCCGGCCCTACATCTTAATTTGTTGTTATTTAAGAACATAAATATAATTTCTTTTTGCCCCTAAAGAATGGTCTTGTGCATCCAGGTACTGTGTACACTTTGGCAGGGACTAAGCTAGAAGCTCAACGACAGATTCTAAACTAGGGCAAAATCAAGAGGATGGAGAAGATGGCAGTCCTAATAAAGAGGCTGGAGGGACCAGATGTGATGGTGCACACCTGTAACCCCAGCACTCTGGGAGGCTGAGGCAGGAGGATTGCAAGTTTGAGCCCAGTCTGGGCATCTTAGTGAGATCCTGTCTCAAATTAAAAACAAAAGGGGCTGGGAATATAATTCCATGTACAGACCCTGGGTTCAGCCCTTGGTACAGAGGGGAAAAAAAAAGGCTGGAGAGAAACAATTGATGAAACTTGATCACTGATATCACAAATGTTTTCAACTGTTTTAAAAAGTGCATATGTCTCATTTTCTTCCCAATATGAATCAAGCTTTCACTTATATTCTCCAGGCATTGTTCAGTACTCAGGTATGTATATTTTCTCTGCAAAGACTAGAGTGCCTTTTACCTATTTGAGTATGTCAGAATTTTGCCAACAGTTACTGCTCCATACACAGAAACCTCCACGAACATCCATGTCAATGCAGCTGCCTGACCAGGCATCAGGAGGACCTGCTAGGGCTTGGAGCCCTTTGAGTCTCAAAGAACAAGAATGTTTTTCCAAGAAGTAGTTTGAACAGCCAGGCAGAAAGTATTAACAGAAGGTTTTACCTAAAACAAGAGCATTCTTTCTCTACCTTTGACCATCAGATTCTCTGCTTTGTTCCTCTTCTATTCCAAAAAAATGTAAATAAAAAAACACACTAAAATACCCCTTTTTATGTCTTACTCACAGTAGGGTTGGTCCACTGTATACTCCTCCAAATGCGTCTTTGTCAATAACTGTCAGGTATTTATTCTTGTTTAGGTAACTAAACAGACAGTGAGAGAAGGAAAAGAGAATGAGTAAGGTGAGTTTAAGATCATATCAAATTAGTACAAATATGAAATCAAAATAAAAACATGGTCTCCCTAGCTATTAACTGGCTTTTAAGAATTTAGAAGATACTTTTTTTTTCTAGCTTAAGCACTCAAAACATTCTATGTTCTAGTTGTGCAAGATGTATACACAATTATGGCAGATATCTCAAAATGAACATGTTTTTAGTATGTATATCTCAATTTCATCAAGATTGTCTAAATTTCTTATCATCAAAGTTGTCTAAATTTCTTATTTTTCTCGCCAGTGGATTGTGTTTTCAATCCTCTTCAATACCAACTGGTTTAACTTTTTGTTTCTCAGTATTGATCAATATTCCCATTTGTTTGAAGACAAGGTTTAAATCAGAAATGGAATGGAAGTAAAGGTGGTGGATGATGACAAGGACTATCAAAGATTCATATCTTTAGGCCTGGGGATTTAGCTCAGTGGTTTTGCCACCTGCTGCACAAGCGCAAGGACCTGAGTTTGATCCCCAGTATCAAAAAAAAAAAAAAAAAAGAATAGAAAGATTCATATCTTTGAGCAGGGTTGCCTGATTTAGCAAATAAAAATACAGGATGCCAGTTAAATTTATAACTTGTATAATTTGAATGTATTATTTTTTAGTATAACTATTCCCCATGCAATTTTTGAAACATTTGCATATCAAAGAGTTATCTGGTTTTTATTTATGATTCAAATTAAGTTGAATGGCCTGTATTGTATCTGATAACACTATTCTTGGTAATAAGAAGTGTTCAGGCAAAAAAAAATTATAGTGTATACCTTCAGTGGAAAGAATTTGATGGGTACATTGAACTTCTTTCTTTCTTTTTTTTCCTTAAATTCTTTTATTGGTACATTTTAGGTATACAATACATTTACATTTATCACTGGGTGTTTATACCTGTACATGATATATCTTGGTTTTTATTTTTTTCCTCCATTACCGTGCGCCCTTCCATTTTGAAAACACTAGGCATTTGAGAGTTTTATAGTTTGAAGCAATTTAAGTTACAAAGTAGTTTGGGAACAAAATTTCATATAAGTGGATAAAAACTTTCAAGGATTTTGAAACTGGCATCCCCCTCAGTTTTTCAAGAGAACAAAATTATCTAAAAATAAATAAAATGCATACATATTTGTTACAGATGATTCCAAATTACATATTAAAGATAATTCACAAGTTGAGGATGTGGCTTAGTGGTAGAGCCTGTATGTGCATGGTCCTGGGTTGGATCCACAGCACCACAAAACAACAACAAAAAGCTCACAGCATATCTAGTAAGTTAAGCACCATGAGCTGATGCAAAATGAAAACAACAGAGATCCTAAGGTGATCTGCTTAGATACAGATAATGCTTTCATGGTAGTATCTAATGTAAATGAAAATACTGTGAATGTTTAAATTTTAATAAATTTATTATGGTAAAAGAGACATTACCATTAATTCCCCTCAAAACACTCCCTCTTGTTTTTTTTTTTTTGGTTCCAGGGATAGAACTCGGGACCTTGTGCTTTCAAAGCAGGCAGTGGAACCACTGAGCTAAATCCCCAGCAACTCCCTCTTGTTTTGAACACACTTATCCCATCATTCTTGCCACTTTCTGAAGCAGTTCTGGAAGTCCTTTTTGTCAATGTCTTTAGTTGCGCTTTTGTGGCTGCTTTAATGCCCTGAATTGATTTTAAATACTTATCTTTCATGGTCATCGTAACTTTGGGAAAGAACCAGAAGTCAAACAGTGCCATAGCTGGTGAATAAAGTGGTCAAAGATAAAGTGCAATATTTTAAAAATTAATTTTATTGGTACATTTTAGATATACACAATAATGTTCATCATATGAGTTTGTACCTGTACATGATGTATCTTGATTCTTTTTTCCCATTTCCCTCTGCTCCCTTTAACCCCTTCCCCCCTCCTTATTTACAAAAGGTTTGTTTCCACTTTTTCGTTCTGTTCTCTTCTTTTTCTTTTCCCTTTCTTCCTTTCCCTCTCCCTGTTCCATACTTTTCCTTCCCGGTTGAACATTTTCTTCCCATTTCACAATATCTATTAGACATTTTGGTCCTTATTTACATTTTCAGTTTCTCACACCAGAGAAACCATGTGATATATGAACATGTGTGCCAATTTATTTCACTTAAGAATATGGTCTCAAGATCCATCTATTTACCTAGAAATGTCTCAAATTTATCCTTCTCTGTGGCAAAGTAGTACTCTATTGTATAAAAACCCACATCTTTATCCATTCATTGGTTGATGGAGATTTGGGTTATTTCCAAGATTGAGCTATCACAAACTGTGCCACCATAAGGATGGGAGTGCATATATTGCTATGGTATGATGCTTTTAATTCTTTTGGGAAGATACCAAGAAGGGGAATAGCTGGGTCAAATGGAACCTCTAGTTTTAGTTTTTTGAGGAATCTCCACACTGATTTCCACAGTGGTTGCACCAGTCTACACTCCAACTAACAGTGGAGAAGGGTTCCTTTTTCTCCATAGGCCTCCCTCCCCCAGCATTTGTTATTAGTTGATTTCTGGTGATAGCCATTTTTTCTGGAGTGAGATGAAATGTCAGTGTTGTTTTAATTTGCGTCTCTTGAATGAACAGTGATGGCGAACATTTTTCATATGTTTATTTGCATTTGTACTTTTTTGTCTGAGAAGTGTCTGTTCATTTCAGATGCCCATTTTTGGATTGGGTCTTTAAATTTGAGGGATCTGATTTTTTTGGGTTCTATATATATTCTAGATGTTAGCCCTTTGTCTGAGGAACAGCAGGTGAAATTTTTTCCCCATTCTGTGGGTCGTCTGTTCATTCTGTTGGTGGCTTCTTTTGCTGTTGAAAAGCTTTTTAATAAGATGAGATCCCAGTTGTTGATTCTCTGATATTTTCTGTGCAATTGGGATTTTGTTCATAAAATCTTTGCTTACATCTATGTCTTCAAGAGTTCTACTTATTCTATCTTCCAGTAGATTTAGTGTTTCTGTTTCAATATTTAGATCTTTGATCCATTTAAATTTCAGTTTTATACTGTAATATTTTTATGAGTCTGTCTTTCTGTTGAATGGCACCTGGCAGTCACATACTCTATATTTTTTTCATTAAGTTTATTGGTACATTTTAGGTATACAGTATGATGACATTCAACTTTGGGAATTTGTATCTTTATATGATATATCTTGGTTCTTATTTTTTCCCCCATTCCCCTGCCCTCCCTTCAACCCCTCCACCCCTCTATATTTACAAAGACTTTGTTTCCATTTCTTCCTTTTCTCATATTTATTCCGTTACCTTCTTTCCTTTCCCCTACCCCTCCCACTTCTCCTTCCCCTTTGAGCCTTTTCTTCCTATTTCACATTATCTGTTATACATTTTGATCCTTATTTACACTTTCAGTTTCT